TTTGACCTTCATACACAGGTGAATCCAGTTATAGGAAACAGTATTAAAGGGGCCATTTGTAAGTTTCCCTACTTTTTGAATATTCTCTGAAGAGTAGCAACATGGGGTCTCAAAACAACGCCCACATGACCTGAAAACAAAGATTGTTCTTCATGGTTTAGGGGGATGGATACAGAAAGTTGTCAGAGATTTTAGCTGTCTGTTTCCACAGTTAGGAACATATTGAGGAAATAGAAGGCCACAGTCACAGTTCAAGTTAAGGCTCCAAGTAGAGGACCAAGAAAAATCTCAGCTAAACAGAAGTGAAAAATGGTGATAACAGTCAGGGTCAACCCACAGACCAGCGCCAGACCTACAACATCATCTTGCTGCAGATGGAGTGCATCGTCCAACTTTTCAGCGCACTTTACAAAAGGAGGTGCTGTATGTGAGAGTGATGCCCACAGCACAGAGCTTGAGGTATGCTAAAGCACATTTGGACAAGCCAGCTTCATTTTGGAATAAGGTGCTGTGGACTGATTAAACTAAAACTGAGTTTTTTGGGCATAACAAGGGGCGTTATTCCAAGAAAAACACCTGCTACCTACAGTAAAACATGGTGGTGGTTCCATCATTCTGTGAGGCTGTGTGGCCAGTGCAGGGACTGGGAATCTTGTTAAAGTTGAGGGACACATGGATTCCACTTATTTTTTCATTAAAAAAAACCTCCCACCCACTGCATTTCACTGTAGAGTGAAACAGGGAAACTTGTAGAGTGAAACAGGGAAACTTCACAGTGAGAGTGTATAACTCCTCAGTCTAAGCTATACTGGCATTATCCTGTTACACAATAACACCAATACAATATTCAGTATGTGTTCAATAGTTGTGCAATACTGGATTTACATTGCATGTATGTGCCTCTTGCAGTGTGCTTCATAATGTTGGAACCCAAGTTTTTTTTTCCACTTTTTATTCGCGGTTCATAGTGGGCAAAGGTTACAATACTAGATTACTGCCTATGTGTATATACTTGTACCTTTGTTAATAATTATCTCCAAATTATTCTCTTAAGTGTTTGTGCTGCTGTAACAAGTGAATTTCCCCACAGTGGGATTAACAAAGTCCATTCTATTAAATTCTATTCAATTCTAGTGTCTCCTCACAGTGAGATAAGGAAACCAGACCATGAGACATCCTATTCAAAAGCCCAAAGCACCTCAGCTGACTCCTAGTGATGTAAATGCTTCATAAAGCACACTTTAAAATATTAGTTATTTCCTTCTTAGGTGCTGACAAGGTACACTTTCACTATGCAAATTATTTCATTGCCCATTGCATGGGCTCCTCCTTGAACCGTCACCTTATCGTGGTGGAGGAGTTTGAGTGCCCTAATGATCCTAGGAGCTATGTTGTCTGGGGCACTTAGTGCCCCTGGTAGGGTCTCCCATGACAAATTGGTCTTAGGTGAAGGGTGAGACAAAGAATGGTTCGAAGGATCTTTCATGGCGGTTAAAACGAAGAGTCGGAGTACCCGGCCCGGAGGGTTACCGGGGTCCCACCCTGGAGCCAGGCCTGGGGTTGGGGCCCGTGAGCGAGCGCCTGGTGGCCGGGCTTTCGCCCATGGGGCCCGGCCGGGCCCAGCCCGAACCGGATACATGGGCTCGTCCAACTGTGGACCCACCACCCGCAGGAGGAACATGAAGGGTCCGGTGCAATGCGAATCGGGTGGCAGACCAAGGCGGGAGCCTTGGCGGTCCAATCCCCGGACAAGAAAACTAGTTTTTGGGACATGGAACGTCACCTCGCTGGCGGGGAAGGAGCCGGAGCTTGTGGCAGAGGTTGAGCGGTACCGGCTAGATATAGTCGGACTCACCTCGACACATTGCATTGGCTCTGGAACCCGAGACCTGGAGAGGGGTTGGACACTCTACTTTGCTGGAGTTGCTCCGGGTGAGAGGCGGAGGGCTGGGGTTGGCTTTTTGTTAGCCCCGAGACTCTCTGCCTGTGTGTTGGGGTTTACCCCGGGGGACAAGAGGGTAGCTTCCTTGCGCCTTCGGGTCGGGGAACGGGTCCTGACTGTTGTTTGTGCTTATGGGCCAAATATCAGTTCAGAGTACCCACCCTTTTTGGAGTCCCTGGGACGAGTGCTAGATAGTGCTCCATCAGGGGACTCCATTGTCCTGCTGGGGGACTTCAATGCTCACGTGGGCAATGACAGCTTGACCTGGAGGGGTGTGATTGGGAGGAACGGCCCACCTAATCTGAACTCGAGCGGTGTTTTGTTATTGGACTTCTGTGCAAGCCGCAGTTTGGCCATAACGAACACCATGTTCGAACATAAGGATGCCCACCGGTACACTTGGTACCAGGGCAGCCTAGGTCACAGGTCGATGATAGATTTTGTAGTCGTATCATCTGACCTGCGGCCGTATGTTTTGGACACCCGAGTGAAGAGAGGGGCGGAGCTGTCAACTGATCACCACCTGGTGGTGAGTTGGATCAGATGGCAAGGGAACATGCCGCGTAGACCTGGCAGACCCAAACGCATAGTGAGGGTCTGCTGGGAACGCCTGGCAGAAGAACCTGTCAAGACGGTCTTCAACTCCCACCTCCGGCAGAGCTTTGACCACGTCCCGAGAGCAGTGGGGGACATTGAGTCCGAGTGGGCCTTGTTCCACTCTGCGATTGTCGAGGCGGCTGTTGCTAGCTGTGGTCGTAAGGTGGCCGGTGCCAGTCGTGGTGGCAACCCCCGTACCCGCTGGTGGACACCAGAGGTTCGGGGAGCCGTCAGGCTGAAGAAGGAGGCCTACAGGGCGTGGCTGGTCTGTGGGTCTCCGGAGGCAGCAGACAGGTACCGGATAGCCAAGCGGGGTGCAGCAGTGGCAGTTGCCGAGGCAAAATCTCGGGCGTGGGAGGAGTTTGGTGAGGCCATGGAGAAAGACTATCGATCGGCTCCAAAGAGGTTCTGGCAAACTGTCCGGCGCCTCAGGAGAGGAAGGCAGCAACTCGCTCACACTGTTTACAGTGGGGATGGGGAGCTGCTGACGTCAACTGAGGCTATAGTCGGACGGTGGAAGGAATACTTTGAGGAGCTCCTCAATCCCACCAATGCGCATTCCGAGGAGGAACCAGAGCTGGGAGGCCTGGGGATGGACTGTCCGATCTCGGGGGCAGAAGTTGCTGAGGTAGTCAAACAACTACACAGCGGCGGAGCCCCGGGGGCGGATGAGGTTCGTCCTGGGTATCTCAAGGCTATGGATGTTGTAGGGCTGTCATGGTTGACACGTCTCTACAACATTGCGTGGTCATCGGGGGCAGTTCCTAGGGAGTGGCAGACCGGGGTGGTGGTCCCCATCTTTAAGAAGGGTGACCTGAGGGTGTGTTCCAACTATAGGGGGATCACACTCCTCAGCCTCCCTGGAAAGGTCTACGCCAAGGTACTGGAGAGGAGGGTCCGATCGATAGTTGAATCTCAGATAGAGGAGGAGCAATGTGGTTTTCGTCCTGGCCGTGGAACTGTGGACCAGCTCTATACCCTTGCAAGGGTGATGGAGGGGGCATGGGAGTTTGCCCAACCAATCCACATGTGCTTTGTGGATTTGGAGAAGGCTTATGACCGTGTCCCCAGGGGCACCCTGTGGGGGACGCTCCAGGAGTATGGGGTGGGTGGCTTTCTGTTAAGGGCCATTCAGTCCCTTTACCAGAGGAGCGTGAGTTTGGTCCGCATAGCCGGTAGTAAGTCGGACCTGTTCCCAGTGAGGGTTGGACTCCGCCAGGGCTGCCCTTTGTCACCGGTTCTGTTCATCACTTTTATGGACAGAATTTCTAGACGCAGCCGTGGTGTGGAGTGTGTCGAGTTTGGTGGCAGGAGAATCTCGTCTCTGCTTTTTGCGGATGATGTGGTCCTCCTAGCTTCATCCAGCTCTGACCTTCAGCTCTTGCTGGGTAGGTTTGCGGCCGAATGTGAAGCGGCTGGGATGAGGATCAGCACCTCCAAATCTGAGACCATGGTTCTCGACCGGAAAAGGGTGGCTTGCCACCTCCGGGTCGGGGGAGAGGTCCTACCTCAAGTGGAGGAGTTTAAGTATCTCGGGGTCTTGTTCACGAGTGAGGGTAGGAGGGATCGGGAGATCGACAGGCGGATTGGTTTGGCGTCTGCAGTGATGCGGACGCTGAGCCGATCTGTCGTGGGGAAGAGGGAGCTGAGCCAGAAAGCCAGGCTCTCGATTTACCGGTCGATCTACGTCCCAATCCTCACCTATGGTCATGAGCTTTGGGTAATGACCGAAAGAACGAGATCGCGGATACAAGCGGCCGAAATGAGTTTCCTCCGTAGGGTGGCCGGGCTCAGCCTTAGAGATAGGGTGAGGAGCTCGGACATTCGGGAGGGACTCGGAGTAGAACCGCTGCTCCTCCGGATCGAAAGGAGCCAGTTGAGGTGGTTTGGGCATCTGGTCAGGATGCCTCCTGGACGCCTCCCCGGGGAGGTGTTTCGGGCATGTCCTGCCGGCAGAAGGCCCCCGGGTCGACCCAGGACACGTTGGAGAGGTTACATCTCCAATCTGGTCCGGGAACGCCTTGGGGTCCTGCCGGAGGAGCTGGTGGACAAGGCCGGGGAGAGGACGGCCTGGAGCTCCCTAATTGGGATGCTGCCCCCGCGACCCGGACCCGGATAAGCGGAGGAAGACGAAGACGAAGACGAAATTATTTCATAACATATTGTGTCACAGGGAGGTGGAAAAAAAGGTAATTTTGGGTCTTCATTTGTTAGAATTTAAGATAAAGACAGATTTTTAGGTATTGTGATTATATTTTAATGTGTTTAATTAGTATAAATATATTAACATGGAAAAAACTGGTGAGACTCACTGACAGCCCTCTAAACCAGTGGGGGGAAATTAAAACCAAGCTGTGGGTTTAAATACACTGCAGTCCCGCCCACTGTTGTGTTTGAACCAATCAACAGCACCGACACAAAGATCTGTGACGTTTAGACCAATCACCGCTCTGGTTCCATCACCAGCCGCTCTGCCCGCTTGTAGCAGACTGGTTGATTTATCAGACGCTAGTCGTCCTCCACCAACGCAGCAGACTTGGGAACCGTGTGTTTCACGCGGTCCGTGTGGACAGAGAATGCCTGGAAAGTGACTCCAGAAGACGGTGGGACTACCCGGACGCTAGCGCTTGTTTCAGCGGGTGCGCTAACCCGAGTGTCCTGCGCGTACTCCGCATCATTGGGTAGGTATATAATTTTTTTAAATTAATTTTGGCGCTGGGTTGTTGCTCCGACCCTCTCTTCATTTCTCTCCGATCCGAAGATCTGCGACATTCGCCTTCAGTCGTCCGGTGTAAACACCGTAGTACGGTTTAGGTGGTTAAACATGCCAGCCAGCTGATGAAGTGGGGTTACATAATTCTGGGGTTTGGCGCTTTGAAGGGAAGAAGCTGGAAAAATCAACCCGACGGCTAAAAGCACTCATTCAGCTCCTGTCATGTAGTCCCTCTGTGTTCGTCGCATGTTGACTAATTAACTCCGTTTCATGTCCTCACGAGGAAGTCGCCTATAGCTGTGTACCATATCAGACTATTTACGTAACATACCGGTAGTAAGGTTACACTCCTTCAGGCGCTGAAATCCTGTTGGTTTAGTACGCGTTTCGCTATAATCCGACAGCCTCCCCGTCCGTCTCTAAAGTGGGTTTTAATGTTAACATTTATTACATATAAACGTATAAACAAACACGCCGAATTAATCCGAAGACCATAAAGGGGCGGAGCTTCACTTTCATGTTGCATACTTGACTAGCGTTTAGTGATAAACCCGACGTTTGTTTGTTTTTGAACTGAGTTTGGTCGTGAGGTGTCGCATCATGAATAGATGATGTGCTGGAGCTACACTGATCTGCAGCCTGAGGTGTTCATAGCTACCAGATAAATGCAGAGGCCTGATAGTTGGCAGGTCTCTGACATGTGTGCGCGATCCCCACCATCCCGACACGATACCCATCCATTCTGTTGGATAAAACCCTGGTTTTAGGGCCTATACCCATGTCCGATTCATGTGCAACTGACCGATTTTGGTCCATTCTAACATCTATAATAAAATACGAGTTTAACTATTTTCTAAACCTGAAAATTATGATTCTGAAAATTTAAACGTCTATATGAGAGATACCATCACACTTAAAGGACTAAAGATGGAGTAGGAGATGTTTTTCTGCAGAGTAACCCCTGTACTGGCCGTCTTGCAATGGCTCAATGTCCAGTACATGATTTACATAATACTACTGGTCCATGTCTTAAGGTCTCTGCACCTCATTGTGACCTCATTACACTAATTCAAGGGTGTCTAAATACACTCTGATCATCTGAGCATGACCTATTGTTGGTGCGGCGAACAAGAAGGACATGTTGGGGGAACGGACATTTTCTGCGTTTGCACCCAAACTGTGTATCCAACTCCCACCTGACATTAGGGGGTCAACTTCAGTGCAGACTTAAAATCTAAGTTGATTCTGCATTTTCGCTTTCTGTCATCAAGTAGGTTCAGACCATTGATTTCTGTGATTTGTCTCCTTTCTTGCTTTATTGACTTTGGACAATTCTGGAACGTCTTGTTCTTTTGTTTGAATTATTGCTATATGTTTTTTATCAGTTTTAACAGGTTTTAGTGTGCAGCACTTTGGGCCACCTTGATTGGTGGTAGAAGTAGCTTTACAAATAAGTGAATGAAATGAAATAGCTGTATTATAACCATTGATTGTTTATATGATGGACGAACCCTCTGCACTGTCACACACATTTCTGAAGAGCTTTATTGAAGTCTAATGGGCGGTTCCCACCACAGCCATCTTGATTGTGTCATGCATCTTGTCACTCCCGGAAAATACAAAAACGCTAATGAGATCGGGGCTGTGTGTGTGTGTGTGTGTGTGTAAGGGGGGCAGATGATTGACTCCCATCAAACTCTGAGTCGATGTAGCTATGGTTTGAATTTTCCTGATGGCACACGTTAATTCGAACACACTATTGTGTCAGAGTGTCTCTTTCAATGCGTGAATCTCTCTCACGGGGCTGACCGCAGCATAAACTAGGTTTTATAGCAGAGTTTTAGTGAAGAAAAACATGCAGCCACCCTGCCTTGGTGATGCAGGGAAAACTGTGTGCATTATTATATTTGGAAGCTATTTCTACCATCAAATTTCCTCCTTGCATTTTTGAAGTAGAACAAGAACATGTTTTTTTTATACAGCACCTCGCTAGAAAAAAATCACAAGTTGCTTCACAAGCACATAAAAAATAAAATAAAGGTATAAATATATTAATGTGAGAAAATATGAGTAGCTTTAACTGTTTTTATTGTATGATTAATTATTCAATAAATATTAAGGTGAATGATTTGTTGTACTAGATTAGAATCTAGACCATCTTTTCACTTAATATACAGGATGGCATGGCAGGCTGGTGTTGTACCTTTGTTAGAAGGAAATCGTGATTTGAACTGAAATCACAATTTCTGCTAGAAAAATCGCAATTCAATCATTTCCTAAAACCGTTCAGCTCTAGTAGTCAATGGGAACTTGCTCCTTTCTAGAACCAACCCCTAGTGGATGAGGGGGGAACTATGGGTTTTGCTACTTCCACGTTGGTTTCACTTTTGGCTAGGGAGTTTGCCCCTTGATCATTAACCCTCTGACCGTCCCTCCTCCCTGTACATGAATCACATTAGGGATTCACGCTTTCCAAAGTTTCTTTAACCGGCTATTGACGCCCTTTAACGGTTAATAGGGTTAGGGTTAGGGTTAACCGGAACCCCCACCCCCCGTTTGCGATTGCATGCTTATATGCGCATTCTCGAGGCCACGGTTTAAACAAACACTTTAGTTTCCTTACATTGAACTAAATAATCACACTGACATTTCTTCTTTATTGTACTCGACAAATTAGGAGTCAGACGCAAGCAGAAGTGTCATGACAGACTGACCTGTTTTTACTAGTCTCGGTTCAGTTTGCTGTGCCATGTTCTGCCACGCTCAGCGCTTTGATGTTATTTTTGTGTTCCAAAAAGGAAATAACTAAAGCTTGGTTTATGCTTGAAGCATGTACATTACGCGCAGAAAAGAGACACGTGCATGAAACACACGTCAGAACTTGCAGCGTTTATGGTTCCTACCTACCTTTTGCCGCTTGTCTCCACTGTGAGCCAGTATTCTCCCAGACTGTAGGGGGTGGCATGGGGCTCTACGGCATGCTTACAACACCACACCATAGTAGAAGTAGAAATCACTGTTGTTCACATTTTTTCACTGCGTCTTTGTCTTTTCTGACTGTGACAGCAATTATTATCAATATTTTGATCATGGTGATCTTTATGGGCCGAATCATAGAGATGTCTGTACTTACGAACCTCCGCTGCTACGAGTGCTTGCCAGTCTGCCATGTTTTTCCACATGGTTAGAAATGTTCCTAGGTGCGTGTGCGGTGCAGAAACTTTGGGCCTCGAATGAGCGTGCTTGCTAAGATGGCGTAATTTGGCCGTGCGGAGTAGCATGGACCTCGCAGACGTGTCAAGCGTAAACCAACCTAAAGAATAAACTGCTCCCACGCCGTGCTGTTTGCTAACCGCTTTGTGTTTGAGCACATTTGTTTGGTCATGTGACAAACTCAGTTCTTCTTCAGCCCAGTAAACATTTTGATAGCGGCACTCTTGCGTTCTCTAGTGGCACAAAATATATAACACTCAAACGCAGCAGAAGTATAACTGCTGTTTGTCATTTGCACATTTAATTTAGGTTGTTGTGTTATTTGTTCTTTTTAGAGTCTTACTCTGTTCTTGTTGGGAAATGTTTAGACGATGAACCTATTGTATGTGTGTGCAACCGTCCTTCTGTCAGCTGGCAGAACTGTCTGCTTGTGGTTGTTTGTTGTTCTTTTCCTAGCTAGTTGGTGCCATTGAGCTGCTGTGATATAGAAGTTAAGAAAACTACTGACTAATTTTATATCATAAAGCACCACATTATTTTAGCTAGCATACTATAGTGTTACATTAAGAAAAATGACAGAGAAGGTTCTAACAGCGAGTCAGAAATGTAAAACTGAACCCACGGGAGCGAGCATTGTGCGCTCCTGTATTCTTGAGGTGCCGTTTATAAGGGGAGGCCTGAGGAAAGAGAATTGGACATTAGAATCGAGCCAATAGAAAATAAAACTTGCTTCAATAGCCTTTTCAGGAATAAAAAATGTAGAAAGTATTTAACTGGGTGACACGATCCAGTGAACACAAATTAATAGATGCAGCTAGAGCCTGCAGGCTCGCAGCGGTGAACATTGACATAAACTGCAGCATTCTTGGAGGACTGGAAGAGGAAACTATTTACATAAAATAAACAGTATCCAATGGCCTTCAGTAGCCAAGAGCACATCTGCTTCATGCAGGTGGTCTGGAAAGAGCTGAGTTAAACTCAGTTCAGTGTATTTCTCTGTGTCAGCTGCTTTCGCAGGGTTGGGTGGTAGATAAGGGTGGGACAAAATTATGGCTGCCTCTGGATAAGCAGAAGGAGAGGGAGATGTGGGGTTCTCAGCTTAAGCCCCCCACCATTGACCCAGTATCAGAAGATGGATGGATATAAAACACAAAATAGCATATTTTCAGGAGGCACATAGCTTTTTTCCTTCTTTCCTGTGTTATGGTTATCTTTGAGATATGGTACCTGTTGTTTAAATGTCTTTGTTTTACCCATAATACTTGTCTGCTATACTACAAAGATTGTGTGATTAATAATTCCTGAACTGTTTATGAATGTGGTATATTATGTTCTGTCGATTGCAGACATTCCATTAAAATAACCAACAGACTAATATAAGACTTGCATTAATTGGAGCTTGTTCCTATAATGTATGGGCGGTTGTCGGTGAGTTACAACAGCTCATCATTTCTTTGAGGATTGCATTACTTATAACTGTAGATGGTTCAACAGAAGCAGCAAATTCAGATCTGTAAAAACAGGACTACTGTGGTATGAGGAGTTGGTACTTCCTGTGTGAATTTTTCTGAGATGAGGCTTCTTGTTGGAGGAAGTTATGTTTTTTTGCAAATGCAGCATTAGTAATGCTGCAACAAACGATTATTTGGATAATCGATTAATCGGATGGAGTCTCGACACGATTAATCGATTAATCGGATTACATGGGGAAATTTTTAAAAACTGCTAGGGAAACATTATTTCTCTCCTTCCTTC